CGTCTACAGGAGTACATCTGTGCTGGCCACAGGGCAAGCAAACAGGAACGCTGCCCTTAGACTGAGCTGGTTGTGACCTGTTGTGGAAATGTGGGAGACTGAATTTTGGGACTGATAAAATCTTTACAGAAGGTGTCTGAAATTTTGAATGAAAAAGTTGCCCAAGAATTGAACTAGCTGTGACCTCAGTGCAAGTAACTACTGAACAATATATATCTGAAATATCTTTTTTATTATTTTAAGTAATATGTGAGTGGAATGACAAAAAATAAGAAAAATCAGAAAGAGAGGACTGCCTTCATTTAAGATGGCTCCAAGAAACTTGACCCCTGTACAGAACAGTGTCCAAAAGCAAAAGAAGCCCCCAGACAAAACAGACATGTCTCTATACCCAGAGCAGAACAACCAGAAGAATCATATTGGAATGTCAAACTGAGTGGAGTTGGTGTTCAAGTGAGGAAGCATGTGTATGTTAGGGAAGCCCATTTACACTGAAGTTCTGGTAAAAGTTACCAGATGATGCCTGCACAGGTACAACTGTGCAATAATGTCTCATCTGGAGGTACAGGTATTTCTCTGGTTTCTGAAATGATACTACATTCTTTCGTGTTCTGTTGCTGCTTTTTTTTCCTGAGAACAGTTGCAAGCAAGAGTAAAACTAATACTCTGACAAACCCCTGTAGCTAGTGATGATTTGTGATACACAATTGTTTTCCAGGAAGAGGCTATTGCAAGGGGAGAGTATTTGTCTATTTGCACTGATTATTTGACTGCCGGGTAGGAGAGAGCGCTGTTCATGTGTCAGTTAAGATAAAATTAAACAAAACTTAGATTCTGTCTGAGACTGTCCTTCAAACGAGAAATTCATATCTTTGGTCTTAACATCTGTGTGATTGAAGAATGAAAGTAATTTTAACAGCTTTTTTTCATTCATATAGGTAGTCAATAAATGCAAAATGCATGCAGTAACATTTCAGACTGATGGTTCTTGATTTTTAAACATTATTTAACATGCACTTTGACTCCTTTTCAGCTGATGTGGTATTTTTTAACTGGATTTCATTGATGCAGAGCAGCAATGACAGACTGTATGGCTGATGACTCTGAGGAAGAGACTAAAAAGTTTGATGACACTCATGGGAATTGTTTAACTTCCTGGACATACATTACATAATGTTCAGCTTCATTTCCTTCATTTCAAGTATGTTTGTGAATAGGGTACAGTCAATTTAAAAACTGCTCTGCATACTGCTGCAGAAACAAAACAGAGTGCCCTCGACTTGTGCTGAAAAGAGATGCTGAGAACATGTTGCACCATAATAAGTGTTCAGCTATTCATTGGATCAAGACCTGCTGCATGAAGAGGCATGAGGAAGCATAAAACCAGAAGTAATGTAGCCTAAAGTAAGGCAGAATCAGAGAAGCAATAACTGTTATGACTAGAATGATAATTAAGAGCTGGATTCCCAGTTGTCAGTAGAACAGTGTATGTACACTTGTACCAGAACTGCAAGAAGAATTGAACTGAAGAATTTACTCCAGACATCTCAGATTAGACCATTGTCACATTGGCTGGCAAGGATGGATCAGATGGCTGTTGTGTTTTACAGCCTTCTCCCTGCTGACCATCTTCCACAGATAGATCTTCAGTTTGCTTTAAAACATCTTCCCTTATGTTGCACTCTTACTCATACATTGTGAGAAAGTTACATTTTCACAAATACCTTGAGAGCACTGCTGGCAAAGGAGCTGGTCGCATCCTCTGCCTGTACCTGAGTGCCCCTTCCCGCCTCCCTGGCTCTCTTCCTTTTCCCTGGATGTGCGTATGGGGAACTGCACTGTGAACTCTATTAGAAAACCTCTCTAGACTAAAAGTGATGGGGAAGGGGAAGCAGGGGGAAATCTAAAATGCTTGACTTGAATTCATTCCTACCAGGAAATTTAATTCTGCACAGCTTAACTTCCTGCATTACCATCAGTGGGATTTAAACACTAAGTTTAACTTTGGTACTTTGTCTTGTAAGAGCATTTCAGTATAAATCTTACTGGCCTCTATCTATGTACTTATTCTATTTTCTGTTTAAATAGTTAAAAATATTATAACTTGATTGTTTCACATGAGGAGCTTATCAGGAGTGGTCATGAAGAAAGATGACTTTGATTTTTGTGTGTGTGTATATATATATATATAAAAAAATAGTCTAACCTACATGTTAAGCACTTCATTAACATGTATAAATTCCACCTCTCCCTCCCTCCTGCAATTATTTAAGCCTGTCTGGCAATAGCACGTATGACAAAGATCAGTGATGGAGTGCTGAATAGCTACCTTTGCAACTAAAAGGCTTGGGAAAATTCCTTTTTTCAAACTGAAGATTATCTTATGTCTGTTGTAACCTTGTCAGGTCTCAAAGTGAGCTCAAACAGTTCTTGATATTGGGGGAGTGGGGGGTGGGGAAGCTTAGCTGTCTGTATAATTGCATCCACATTGAGTAACACAACTCATTTGCTTAGATTAGCATGTGAGATTCCCCAAATTTGCAGGCCAATTTAAAAGCCATGATGATGGTTTGGGTTCATTCTCAACAAAAGAAAGATGAGCTTCTGCTTATCTATTTTTTGAGTACCGTTTTTGATACTGCTGTAGACCTGTCTGACATAAGTTTATAAGCCTTTCTTGCCTTGTACAGCTCTTAGGATGAGACGCTAATACCTGGGCTCAGTCTATCACAGTGATGTGCTGAATGAAGTCTTATATTATATAACATGAGATGCATGCTATTGGTTGTTTTTAAAAAAAAGTCTAGAATGCCCAGAATCACAAAGAAAACAGGGAAATCCAGTTATTTTCTATAACAGAAACCTTAATATCCATAAGTCAATAATTAATAAATGGACAGGCAAAAAAAAAATGACCCGCTTTTAAGAAAAGGAGTTGTTGGGGAAGCTTGTGGTATGTTGATAATGTTTTGGATAGTAAAAAGATTGTCTTAGTCTTTATGAAATAAATAGTGATGAAGACTGAAGTGTTTTCTATTGGGCAGCAGTGAAGTGCTGGATAGTTTTGTAAGTGTACTGAAACATGTAGTCATCAAGTAAGAAGCGCAATATGAAGCTGGTGCTTTAGGCTTATGTGACTTACTCTGTGCCATTCTTAAATAGAATAAGAGCCTTTGGTGGAGATTTTTGATATCTTGCTAAGAATCAGAGAAAGATGGATCAGGTAGTCCAGAGAGATGAAGTGTGCCAGCATAGAGGACGGTTTATTAGAAACTGAGAGAAGGGGCATATTTCATACGTAGATGGAAGCAATCATGAGAAAGGAGATGTGGGGCGAGGGGAGAAACAAGGCTCTAGCTGCTGTGTTGCACTAAGAGCCTGTCCTTTTCCCGTGAAGCATGTATGATGGCTGTACCGGTTCCTCTGTTTAAATTTCTCAGTGAAAAAAATAACTAAAAGGCTGATCCGCAGTTAGGGAACAGGAAGAAACTTAACTAGTGACTGCATTGGTTGCTGCCCCGGCACGTATGTGTACCCTGTTGGTTTTTATATTTTCTCAACTATAAAATGTGAGTAATAATGCTTAGATTATGTATCATTCAGTGTTGTGCGAGTTAATTAGATAATGCTACGTAGTTCTTTGAAGATGAAATGCATATAAATGTTGTATAAAGCTTACTAAGGGGCTCTGTCAGGTATATGGGAACCCATAGTAACTTCAGACAGAAGAGAGCTGAGAAATGTAAGGCAGAGGCACTTGGGCTGGCTGCATGCAAATTGACTTGAGCAACAGAATGGCACGTTCACACACATTTTTCCCGTGTTGACAAGCCCTGCAGACTGGCACAACAATGTGTAAGCGTTTCTGGACTAAAGCTTTTAGTCTTGCGTTGTCTAACCTACTGCTTCGGGAATCTTGGCTTTGTTATGTGTTAGAGATATCGTTAAGTGGCAAAGAGAAGGAATGGAAATGTGAGCTCTGTTGGCTTGATATTTCTGACCCAAGACACTTGGCAGTGGTGGGTTGGATGCCAAGGTAGCATGAAGTTTAAAAGAAAAAATGGAAGGATGGAGACACATGTACACTGCTCCAGGAGCTGGAGTTTTAGTATCAGTAGTTGTGTGATGACCCAAGCTGGGATAGTGAAAACTGTTGCTTACTGAAGCAATTTAGCAAAGCTTGGAGGATGGATTAGGCAAAAGTATTAGTATTAACCCTTTTTTCCATTCGGTTTACTTTCTTGTTTCCCTGTTGTATCTTTCTCACTCTTGTGTACAATAACTTTATCCTCTAAAGATCTCTGAGCAGGTGTTGTTTCTTAGCTGGCATAACTACCTAACTTTTCAACGTTATTTACTAACAAAGTGGATTTCATTTGGTAACTAAGGCATGACTTACTTTTCCTTTAAAGAATTTTTGTCTGCTTGCCATGTGTTGTGCAACGGAGCAACATCATGGTACATTTTGTTCCTCACTGGTGTCAGCAAGCTCTCTTACAGTGCTTAAAACAGTTTCACTAGTTTGGGGTTTGGAGTGACTTAGATGAGTCAGTTGCATCTTACTGGAAGGTCAAACGAAAGAAATGCAGCTTTGTAGGTCTCCTTGGTGAAAAAGTACAGAAATACATACTAATTCCAGATCAGCGTTGCTTAACAATGACAACAGTAAAATTTAAAAGTAAAAGTAGGTAAAGGTGTTGTTATGTCTTTGAGGTCTTTTTCTGTAGAAGCTGCATTTTGTTAATCTATTGCTGAAAAATTTCAAAAGCATAAAGTCACATAATGAAGTAGGTTATTTTTTTTAAATATATCATTGCTTCAGTTTGAACAGTATATGTATTAGTTTTTCTTCCAAATAACTGAATTGTGCATTGAACTCCAAAACAAGGTTTTTTCCACACAGATTTAAGACTAAAAGTTTACTATTCTTTTTTTCCTCTCAAATTGAATCTTCTCATACTTAAACAAGGTTAACTTATTTTCTCCAAAATTTTCTTGCAGATCTTAAAATCTCAAGACATGTATTTCCTTGGACTCTTGTCTTTGCTTGTTTTGCAAAGCAAAGCCTTCAAGACAAATTTTCCTGATGAAACCATTGCAGAGCTGTCTGTGAATGTTTACAATCAGCTGCGAGCTGCAAGAGAAGATGAGAATATTCTTTTCTCTCCTCTAAGCATTGCAATAGCCATGGGAATGGTAGAGCTTGGAGCCCATGGAACCACTTTGAAAGAAATTCGACATTCCTTGGGTTTTGACAGCTTAAAAAATGGTAAGGCCTTTTAGTCATGTTTTACTGTGGGGCTTTTTGTCTTAAAGAAACAGATGGCAATGCCTGAACAATGATGGTAGTGGCCTGGTCATGTGCATGGGTTATTAATCAGTAGACTTCTGACATCCCGTTTGATGGCTTGAGCATGTTGGAGCATGCCTCCGTGGATTCTGCATCAACTGAAAGATGCTCACATAGAATCCTGTCTTGGGCACCTCAATCTTAAGTGATTGCAGTTATCTGTTGATCTTGGATTCTGTCTGCAAAATAAGCTTGCCTTTGCTTCTAGAGTTATAAGAAGATTTTTAGGAAAATCCTTTTAGGGATTATAATGAAACCTAAAAAGGAAACAGTCATTTTAGCAATATTGCTGATATGAAAGTATGAACATCTTGGTAATTTAACTGGAAATATCTCTTACTTTGACATAACTTGTTTTAGTTCTTGTAGGTATAACCTGTAGATAATTAGGTTACCCTAATTTGTGTCCCTAATGTTCTGTCTGCATTGTATATCTGTGTGTGACACTATGCAAGCTAATTTAAGCAATATAATTATCTTGGTTGTTTCAGCACAATATGCCACATGTTCCCATCGGCCTTTCTGAGAACCAGGATTCTTTTCTTTAGCAGAGAACAGTGCTACCACACTGCCTGGTTTGTAGTATGGGATGAGCTAAATCACGTGTCTGTGCTGTGGAATGCAAGCACACTCAGTTAGTGCAAGCAATTGTACTATGACTGCAAATGGAGGGGATGAGTGAATGGTAAAAAATGACTTTGAAAAAGCAATTTCTATGAATTTTGATGTCAAAGTAATTAGTTTGAAACAAAATTTCTTATTCTTGCAACATACTGGATTTCAAGTCTTCGGTGAAAGGATCTTGGGGAGATGAAGATGTGTTCAACAGTAGCGCTGCAACACGCAGATGATGCCTCTTTGTGGAGGCTACAGCACGTGTTTAGTTCTACAATTTGTTTCTCAAACATTGATACATTATCCCTTAGCTATAACTGAAGTTATGCAGTTAATTTGAGCTGGGCCATTCACTGTTCTTGCATGTGAGTGTATTCAGTGAAAGTACTCCAATGATTTCTGCTTGGAATATATCACTGCATTCAATTTTTAAGGGTTTGTGGTTTTTTTAATTAGAAATTTCAGCTTCAGGTAGACAATGCAACAGTACAAGCATCCTATCTTAAAGCAGACTACTTTAATCCTATTCAGGATTCTGCTTTACCCAAGCAAATGATTCTATACCCCACGCAGGATCCTGGGAGATTCTAGAGCTGTTTCTTGCAGAGAGAAGTCTGTGGGGAAGTCCTTAGCTTCAAAACTTGAAGTTCATTTTTCCTTTAACAACTGGCTTTTAGGATGTTATGAAAATTCTGTTAAGGATTTGTGGTGGTAAGATATAGAAGTGTGACTTATAAGAATTTAATTACTCTTTTAGTGTTGAAAGGATTACCATTGATACCTTTGTCTGTGATAGGATCCAAATGTCTCATTAATTACAGTAATTGTAGGTAGATGAAAAAGTAAGCTTTAAATAATATGTTCTGCCTTGTAGATTGTTCTTTCAGATCTGAAGGTGTGGGTAAGTTTAGAAACAAGTTTATAAAAAAAGTGTTGTTTTTGGGGGGTTTTTTTTGCATAAAATGTCTTTATGAATATTCAGCAGAAAAAAACATGGAATAACTTTCTTTTCTGAAACACTGAATCTGTTTTTCTTTCCTCAGGTGAAGAGTTTACCTTCTTGAAGGACCTTTCTGATATGGCAACCACTGAAGAAAGTCATTATGTTCTGAATATTGCTAATTCTCTCTATGTGCAGAATGGATTTCATATCAGTGACAAATTTTTGCAGTTGGTGAAAAAATACTTTAAAGCTGAAGTTGAGAATATAGACTTTAGCCAAAGTGCAGCTGTAGCTACCCACATTAATAAGTGGGTCGAGAATCATACAAATAGTAAGTCCACATGATTCTCTTATATACTTCCTGCAGTAAGTGTTTGTGTTTTCAGAGTTATACAGTGTTGTTGATTTGTTGCCTTGGCTTTTATCTCTTCCATTTGAAATTAAAGTATCTCCTCCCATAAAAAGAATTCTAATGAATTTGTGAAATCATAATTTTTTTCTTGTAAAGGGATGATCTGTCTTAAGTAATATTAGCCATTACTAATCATATAGTAGTATCTGACTGAATATTTTTTCTCCTGTCTTCCTATCTTAAGGTACCTGTAACATTTATTGAAGGAGAATGGTTTTTAATAGTGAGCATTTCAATAGTATTTTAATACTGATTTCAATATTAAATTACCAAAAAAATAGATAAGTACTATTGTATGCGACTTTTCTGCCAGTAGCAAAGGGGTTATTGGCCTGTGCTTTGGGTGTGTGGAGTATCACTAGCTCTCTGAGGAACTCATAGTTACAAGGTATCGAGAAACAGAATACTAAGGAGTACAAAAGTGTAAGTTTGAGGTATCGAGAAACAGAATACTAAGGAGTAAAAAGTGTAAGTTTGAGGTGTCGAGAAACAGAATACTAAGGAGTACAAAAGTGTAAGTTTGAACCACGACATTAGACCCTGTAATTTAATCTTTTCCAATGTGAGAAAACTAGATAGCATGTTGAGAGTGTAGTTGGTTTTAGGAAGACTGTCAACAGTTTCACAACAAAAATTTGCAGCAGGAGAGTAAGCACAAAATTACTGATGTAAATATGCATATTGAGATCTGCATGATGTAGTGCTTGTTTTGCTTGTGGAATCCCAAAGATGTGCCGCTTTCTGAATATATGCAGAGTCTCAAGATACGGGAGTGAAGTTAGTCCCCCACTGAAGGCATCAAAATGTAATCTCATTCTAGTTCATCTAGCACGCTCTGGAGATTGATGCTTTGAGAGTAATTCAACAGGGGCTTAGCTTTAACATCAGTTGTACCATTCTAAATTTGAAGGTATCAGAATCTCCTGTAAGGAATTAACATATCAGTATGTAGTCTGAGCATTTAAGAATCCATAACGCTTTATGGAAGTGTATGGCACCAAAGTGGAAAAACACCTCATCTAATACTTTTATTCTATTTTGGAAGTGATCTGCTTTTTCCAAGGGAAAATGGCAGCTATTATATTCATAATGAATTCTGCCCTTTATCTCAAGCTACAGAAACAGAGGGAATGTAAGTGATGCAGCAGACTGCAGAGTGTTTTCAGAGAAACATGGTGTCTGTCTGAAGGAAAACTAAAATTTTCTTTCTTTTAGAACAGCAAGTTCTCCTCCTTAATACCTGCCTCATGTGCTGACTGAGCTCGTAACCATTTCCCTGGAAGGAGCTGTGCAGAGCTAAGGCAGGCAGCTCTGGGTCTCTTAGCATTAGGTTGCGATAGTAACAGTCCCTCAGCCTAGTCTCTGACCACTCGATCTCATTCTCTCCTGTCTGCCAGCTCAGATGGAAGAGGCTTATTTTCTCATTAGGACAGGGGTACAAGACAGGCAGGTTTCCAATTCTAGCATGTTAAGCATGATGGGAGGCTTGGAGCAGAAAACATAACTGTCAAAGGTTTCTCTAGCCAGAAAAATTCTTAACATATATTAGTGTATTAACATGATGTGGCTGAAAAAGAGGGAATGTGATGTACAAAATAGAAATGGAAAAACTGGAAGTGTATTCCTTCTTAATTTTTCCTTTTTTTTTTTTTTTTGTTTTCCAACCAGAGTGAGTGAGTATGGCAGTATGGGTCACATCTCATTTCTAAGAATGTCCTAGATAAAATGAAGTACAAACAGCAACCCAGAAGAAATACTACCCTATGATACACAAATTTCACAGCAGTTAGTCCATGTCATATGCTCCAGAAAGCAGAATTAATCTGTATTTTAAACCATGGATTAAGAAGTAATAATCAAACACATTCCTCAGTCTATTTTAACACCTGGCATCGCAATGTCAGTTAAAAATAGAAATGAGCAAGAAAGCTACCCAAAGTAGGCTGTAATTCTTCAAAAATAGGGACAAATCTGGTCAGTGCACCAAATTTAACAAATTCAAAATTATTTTGCCAAAAAGCAAGCCATTTAAGATGAGCTAAAGCAGGTAACAGACTGTTTTCTGATGTAAATGACTTATTGAGGAGTAGGAGCAAAGCAGCTGCTGTGCTCAGCTGACATACCTTCCATGAATAGAGCAGATGCTAGATATTTTTTTTCTCTTTTGCTTTTCAAGAGAGAATGTCAATGGAACAAATGGTAGGAATTTATAGATCTTTTTTTATGATTAGTCTGTACTTTGAAATCTGTTGGACACTACTTGATTAGAAATGGAATGCTTCCTTCAAAATTGGCCCAGGTGAAGTTCCAATGGGTATACTTAAACACTTCACATTAATCACCCATTTAAGTGCTGCGTTGGATTGGAGCCAAAGTTTGTAGAAGTTCTCACCTTAAGAGGATAGTGCTGAACTGTATCGCAGCACCACTGTAAACATTCCTTATGTGACCCCTTTTCTACTTGGTTTCATTGTGGGGTATATTTAAGTAGTGATCAAGAAACAGTTGACTAACATGTACTCGATGGAAGGGTTTCCACACCTACACTGTGATTTAGGTTTACAAAACACTGGCAGTTTAATTTGAGATATAATGGAACATCTGAATTGGAAATTGCATGTTAGCACAGCTTTTTATTTTCTTGCATTTTTCAAACTGTTTTAAGTTTTGATTTAATGCTCAGCTTGACATACAGACTGACAGTTGGCTTTCTTCTTAGATATGATCAAAGATTTTGTGTCTTCAAGAGATTTTGGTGCTCTAACTCATTTGGCTCTCATCAACGCAATCTACTTTAAAGGCAACTGGAAATCACAATTCAGACCTGAAAATACAAGAACTTTTTCTTTCACTAAAGATGATGAAAGTGAAGTGCAGATTCCAATGATGTACCAGCAGGGAGAGTTTTACTATGGTGAGTTGGAGCTTTTAGCAATTTAAAGCTAATAAGTCTTCCATTAATAGGTTTGTTGTAGTATAATACTCATTTATATTGTTGTCTGTTCTTTCACCTAGAATTTTTAATGTGGTGTTTGCCCAGTGAAGGGACTCTGATGTATTTTTGTAATGTGTGTGCTTATGTATTATAACAAGATAGCAACACTTAAAATGACCTCTTTCTTGATTACTTTTTTAGGTATGTGTTTGGTGCTACATGGTGCATTTCAGAATGTTTATCCGTTAGATATAACTTCTTTACGATTATTGAACTAGTCCTGCTTCTCACTAAAATATTTTTTCTTGTGCTATGCTAAATATTAAAATGAACAATATTTGCTTGTTACTGTTGTAACTCCAAGTGGGTTCTACAGTGTCTAGCATTGGTAGTATTTCAGTCTCATCATTGACAAATTACCTCACCTGAATTAAACCCTCTGGCCATTTCCATGAAAGTCTTGGCAGCCTTAACAACTTTTAGACTTCTCTCTGTCTAACCAGGGGAAGTTAGGTTCAGACGTATGGTTATCTACAAACTCTGTGATTGCATAAGCTTGTTTTCTTTAAGAAAGCACATGTAATCCTCAAATCCTGCGATGAGGAAACCAATATAAATTTTATACAGAATAGAATAAATACGGTCATTTTTATCTCTGGTATCTAGTAAATACTGCCTAGTATTAATCTTACATTTTTCCCCTCTCTCCAGTAAAAATAAAACAAAATACTTCTAATAGCTTTTTTGTTGTTGTTTTTCTTTTGTAGGAGAGTTCAGTGATGGCTCCAATGAAGCAGGTGGTATCTATCAAGTTCTGGAAATACCATATGAGGGAGATGAAATTAGTATGATGATCGTTCTTTCCAGACAGGAAGTTCCACTGGTCACACTGGAACCACTGGTCAAAGCCTCGTTAATTAATGAATGGGCTAATTCTGTAAAGAAGCAGAAAGTGGAAGTCTATTTACCGAGGTGAGAATATACTCCCATGTCAATAGAAGGGGAAAGATTGCATTCAAATTGATCAGAGTAGCAGAGTAGGTAACACTCGAACATCTTGATCAAGTGTGCAGTTATATAGCACCTATGTGAAGGTTGCTTTGACAAGAAAGCCCAAGGGCCATGTAGTGCAGAATGGTGGTTGAGCAGCAGATGAGCAGCATTTGCATCCCTTTCATACGGAAGCTCCAGAAAGGAGAATTTTATCATCAGGAATACATCTCCCCTGAATGATGTTGAGAGTATTGCAGAACTCATTATGGATAAGTTCCATTTAGACAGGAGCCATAGAAATATTGCAAGTCTGAATTAACAAAAGCTAAAATGTTTCATTTAGGTCCTAATTAGATTTGTATGTGCTGCCAATTTAAATAGTTGTAATGGTGTGTGTCTGTGTAGATAGAAATGGCGGAGTGTTAAGAGGTAATTCCAGTCAATTTTTGTCTTTTTTCTTAGTTGTAGTAAGTGCTGGTTTCTTTTTCCTTAGAGGAGCAAAAGAATAACAAGACCTTACTACTAGAAAGGATAAAACTTCAGTTCATTTGTAGACATAAGTTGTGTGTGCTCAGTGGCATATTTGCTCGCAAATACCACTTAGTTATCTTTCCTAGAATTTTATTTCATCCACCTTAAAATATTTTTCATACTTGCTCTAAAATTGACTTAGTAATAGAGTTATTTACTACTAAATCTGACTAATAATGCATAGTTGGATCATGATGCCTTTCAGGTGATTCATAGTGATTTCATTTAAGTGTTTATATAATAATATGCCACAAATTTGATGTGGATCACTTCTTATTCTACATTTGACGCTGTGCAGTGGATACATGACAGCAGAAAAAAGAAACTATAGTGAATCTTTTTAATCATTAAAGTAGTTCTTTGGTTTCAGGTGACAGAGATTTGAGTTTATTTCATGTGTAAAGAGCAGGGCAAGAATGCCTGAATTTCATCAGTTTCCTTTCCAAAGCAAAGACTGCTTTCAAGAAGCTAACTACAGCTGAGCACAATAAAACAAGGCTAGCCAGGATAAATTAGGTTGATCCGGACTGGTGCTGTCAGCATGCCCCGATTCCAACTCGAGATGGAATTCCACTTATCTTTAAAGCTGTTACGCTTGGAGTTAGAGTGGTGAGGGAAGAGCAGCATTTTGGGACTGTTTTTCTCTGCCTCATAGTAAGAGTTCCTTTCTTTTTTAAGTAGCATTTCCTTTGAAGGAGCAGGGAGAGCAGCAAAGAGCTGCATTGCAGGCAAACTGAACCTACTGTACACTGTTCCTGTGATTTTCTTTGTTTGTTTTGTCTCTTGGAGCTTCAGGTCCGAGGAGTCTTAGTATTAACAGTTTACTAAGATGCAGGGGAGGGGCATTTATCCTAGGCAATTTCTCCTGCATGCTTAGACAAACCTTACCTAGGTGTTAATAAGAACTAAATTATGAGTATTCTTCCATCTCTTATAAAAGGAAAGCTTAACTGGAGCATTTCACAGCCTGTGTATCAGGTGCTGAAGTGGGAGATCTTCTCTCAAAGAATTTCTGGAGTGCGAGATCCACAACAGAAGTCTCCCTCCATTGATTGCGTAGGGAATCTGTGAAAACTAGCTATGTACTTAAGAAGCTTAGGTATCGAAAGTTAAATGCGTGAATGTCATTGAAAACGTATTAATTATGTTTATGGATTGAATTATGTTTTTAGAGGTAGTTTGGGGTTTCGTTTACTTTTAACCAAAAGCAGAGACTCCAGGATTCTCTGTAGTCAAGTTCTCAGACATGAGTTTGAGGCTTAGGTTTTGTTTGGTCATGTAATGTCCTTATTTATTCCATCCTCAGGCTAGTCGTCATGCCTGTCACTCTTATCCGAGAACCTCAAAATGCTTGGTAAACATTTGTGAATTAAGGCTATACAAAGGCCAAACAGGTACAACCAGGTGCTGATTACCTTCAGTATTTTCAGATTTTAAAAGATCACTATCATGAGCTTGAAATTCCATATGGTAATCCTGCCGTTTCCGTACAAAAATTCCAAAGATTAATTGCATGCTCCCAAAGGTGTTGGATTTCCATTAGGGATTCAGAGGTGATCTGCAGGATTTTATCAATGTTCTAAATAAACACTTCATAAATATTTTATGCTCTGACTCAGAAAGGCATGTTATGAAATGTGGCCTGCAGGCTCTGTCCACTGAGAAATTGAAAGCAGCAGTGGAAAAAATTAAATTTTTATATCCTGAAAGATGCTATCCAATTGTAAAGTGAACATTTTTTAAACTTACACATTTGTACTAGGACCTGAATGACTAGCCAAAGCAGAGTTAATCACAACTTTCCAATTTCTGTCTGCATTATCTGTATGCAAATGAGATTGTGTATTATTCCACTTAATAGCAAAGGAGAGATTTGTACAGAATTGTTAAATTATGCTTTCTCATTTTCATTTTCAAATCATTGTTTCCAGTTTAACCCAGACTAAAGTGATCAACATTTTAATCCACTTTTTGCATAGGAGTGAAACAGACCATGAATCTAATTTACAAAGCTGTCTCTAACATAAATTATTTGAAGAGCAGAGGAGGAACTAGTACCTAATAACAGTGCTACAGTCTACAGATCTCCTCTTAAGGATTGTTTCAGTATGCCCAGCTCTATATAATGACCTTCTTGCTTTTTTGTACATTTAAAATATCCTAAAAAAGCCTTAGACTGATTGAAATAAGTGGGGTTTTTTAACTGAAGGTTGTTCTCTCTCAACCCCCATTTCCCCCTAAAAAAACCAACCCTAAAAAAAAAAAAAAAACCCAGACATTCTCTCTTTTTTTTTTTTAACATGCTCTCTTGAGTCCCCTTTTCATGAGGAATAGGCCAGTGCTGATTGTTCTTGAGATACAGTCATGGAAGAGGCATAAAACTGTCCCACTGAAATACACAGCCAACTTCTGCAGCCCTGGATGGAAGGACCTTGCCAGAGAAAGAACCATAACCTCCCTTGCTTCACCTGCTCAGAGCAGCTGTGTGGGGTTTTTTGTTTGGTTTTGCTGTTAGTGGGATTTTTTTTTGTTGTTGTTGCTTACTTGTTCATTTATAGGCTATTAAATCATGCAGGTTAGTTCTAGCACCTCAGGATGATGTAGCTGAAATTCCAACTGAAATGTTGGAATTGATATCAGCTGGCAGCTTTGTGTTGTAGGCTGCTTGCTAGGTTAAAATAGTGATTCAGATCCGGGGGGCCTTTCCTCCAACCAAGAATACTGTTGATTTCAAGCAGTGGAGCCATTCCTTTGTTTGCTTTTTGTTCTGCAGAATGCAATGCATTCAACCCAATCTGAAAATGTGGAATTTCTTGCTTTTGCTCATTCAGAACTCTTAGTAATTTTTGCAATTATAGCCTTTGGAATGAGTCACACTAGACTCTAGTTAACTTCTGTTGTATAACTAGAAAGTGTACCCTAATCCTCCGTGATTCTGTGGAAGCTGAGTGCCTAAGGACTTCACAAAAAAAATCAGCATTTCAGAAGGGTTGCACAGTACCATACAAGATGAAGCCATCTTTTCTTCTCTTTTGAAAGTCTGTAAAATAGCAGAAAGATGGCCTGATATGCTATGTTAAAGTTAGTGCTCTATGCAAAACCTAAAGGTTCAGATACATTTATGTCATCAACAGTCTCCTTAGTTATGTGTCATTTTAATCTAATGCTTGTGTAAGTGTTAAATTTCATGAAAATACCATCATTCTCTGCTAAACTCCCAGAAAACTGTTAGTTTCTCAGTCTAATTCTACTTCCGAAGCGTCTCATTCTGTTCTTCATTTCATGTGGGAGAGATCCAAAGATGATGGAAATAAAGGGAAGTCTTTTTGTTGAGCTATTTGGTCTACATTTTACATGTAGGAAGTGGAGAGACTTTACAAATGAACATTGTAAAAAATAATTATAGAGCTAACTCCCGTCTTCACTTCTCCTTGACTTTGGCTAACAGCTGATAGGCAGAGTCCCTATCCCTTATTAATATCATTCAGCTCAGTGCTTTCTAAGGAGGTCTGTAGAAGCTTATATCCATGAACACGTGTGGTGGTGAACCTTCTAGAATTGCTTAAGCACAGAAGCTCTCCTCTTGATTCAAAATACCTTATCTTTTCTTCAGTGTCTTGAGGTTTCTCAGACTTCCCTTTGTGGTTTTTAATGCTCCCGGTTGCAACTATTCCATGACTTCTGATACTGAACCATTGAAATCGATTTTCAATAGTATTTTTAGCATCAGAAGCACCTAAAAGATTGTGGGGGAAAAAATATGACCATCTGGTTTATTATATGAGACAAACACTGCAAATAACCATGTGTCATGACTAGTGTCGTGTAGCTCGGCATTTCTAAAGTCTGGAGGTACAGTAAATGCCTGGCCTGGGAAATGAGATTGAATGTCTCTTCTGTGTTCTAGACTGTCAGCTTTGATTTTGAATACCTTCATTGCTGTCTATAAGGAACACAAAGACATCCAAATATGACTGGAGGATAACTCCTACCATATGTTTATGTAGGTTTGCATAGCCTGAAGTTATATTTCAAATTGTAAAGCAGGCCTGTTATTTTTCAAAAGAGGCTAATTTTGATATCAGCTAAAATATTTGAAATATCATTAATAATAGCTTATCTGTAACTCTTGCTGTTCTTCAGAGCATGTGAGAAAGGAAGGGAGGTGCTATTGTGAATAGCAGTTCAGAGTGGGTTTTTACCAGATGACAAAACTGAAAGGGGAGAAGGGAAATAATTAGTTTTATTTTCATAAAGGGATAGAATGGTATTTATACAGCTGATGTGATATTTTTGGTCTACTTTGTCATAAAAAGCAGAAACTCACTCGTATAGATAATGTCGAGACCTTCACTCATCCACCTGTTCAGCATTTGCCTTTCCAGAGGTTTCAGTCAGGGGATAGTCTCTCTCTAGTGATTAAGTGACTGCTACTATTGTTCATGTAGGTATTCTTTAGCAAAATAACCAATCAACTTGTTTGCGTTTTCTTTTTTCAGATGCATATTCAGCTGGGGCTTTACTGTTTTGATTGGGCTTGTTTGGTTTCAAAAACATCTCCCAAACCTCTTTTGTGATTAGTATGCAAAAGCATCTTTTGTGATGCTCACTTTCTGGATCACAATTCATCACTTAGCAGATAAGTGTGTTTTCTGTCCAGTGGTCAAGAGACTTAAACCCAACTAATTCCTATTTATATCTTCTAGTGATTCTCTGCAGTTGGAAAAAATGCTTTTTTTGCAGTTATTTCTATCTGTGAACTCAAATTTTGCTTTTCATGCAGACTTTTCTTGTTAGTGTCCTATCCTGATATTCTTTACTAGTTTGACATTGCTACTTAATAGCTAAATTATCTTGAAAGCTTGATACATTCTAATACTAATTGTGGTGAAATAAAAGCCAAAACACGATTCTGAAATTTTTACAAAATGGATTTTAACATTAATTTGCCTTTTCTGCATGTTGGTAAGGTAGGTTGGACATGTTGTTCAAAAAATAGTTTTAATATAGAAAGAAATATTTCTGGATTTCTTCAGTGTGCACAGACACGACCTCTACTGTTTAACTCCATTTAACTCTGGCATCAGGAATCAAGTCTTAATTAATCTTTCCTAGGTTTTTACTGAAGTCTCTAAAATGGTCTGGACTTACATTACAAGTGTGTAGTGAGAGTAAAACTAGTCTCTTTTTTGGAGCCTGTAAGCCAGTGGGAAATTTGAATGAATGAGCAACTTGCAGATTTGTCACATAGATTAAAGCTAAAATTGTGCAGAAGTTCTTGTGAGCTCCCTGCCTGTAGTTTTTGACCAGCGTCAGTGTCCACAGCTTTCGAAGAGGAACGTGAGTGATGATTCCTCTTAGAAGAAAGCTAACAGGACACAGCTCCATTTCCTGCAATCTGACTGGCTGTTTTCAGGTCATTTCTTCTGTCTACCTGCATCTCATTCATTAAGATAATGTCATCTTTTTTCTTTTTTTTATAATGCTGCCACACTGACTGATGCAGAATATGCCAGAATGCCATAAGCTTCCTCTAGTACACAAATCTTTGTTGATCTCTTCTGATTCTTTCGAGAAGTGCCAAAACAACAATATCAGAAGAATCAGTTCTTGTGTTTTAATTCCAGGCGTATCCTGGAATTCATCTGGGCTTGTGGTGCCACCAGTGATTTATCGATCCTGAACTACCTCCAGATCCTACTTAAACTTGCATAAAATTCTTCTTTGGGTAATGACTTATATCTATTCCATCATAGATTTTTGGCTTCTAATGGTGTCTCTACATTCATTATGAATGTAGATTGTGTATTGGATTTTTCTCATTCTGTGTAAATGTGAGGAAGATCCACTTGACTCTTATCCAGTTGTCTTTTGGTATCCAGAATATTCTCTTTCAAGCTGCAAAGGCTTGTATGTGCCAAGGTATTGTACATCTGAGCTCTTCATCAGCTGTTCTCTGCTCAGCGTTCTGGCCTGTACTTTCTGCTGAAAAGAACATGTTCCTCCAGGTAGCTGAGGAAGTTTAGTCCTGAAAAAGATCATCACAAGAAATTGCGCAGAAGCACGTTTTATTTTATTTGGTTCTGGTACCAGTAAGACCCTTTACCTAAGGACTGCAGTGTAATTGCAGAGTTGTTTCTGACTGAATGGCTTGCTGGAGAAACTGTAACATCACCATATGGACTATATATTTTGTGTTGTAGAGTTATAACCAGTCACTGTCAGCATAATTTAAATCGCTAATAATTTGTTTGGTCGTTCTACAGAAAACCCGTAACTCAACCATAACAAACATTTATAATTAGTCTCTTGTGTTTGTAGAATTCTGGTATTTTCTGATTGGGACTGCCATTCTTCTTATTATTCTGTGATATTTCTTTGTTTCTCCAGCTGTCCAGTCTGGTTTTGGCCATACATAAAGGACTTGAGTCATTTTTTGTCTTACTGACACCAGGCATAACATTTAAAATGTTTGAAAAGAAGTCTTTGTAAATGGAACAAGCTTTTACCCAAAATCTTGCCCTCAGGATTAATCTCAGTTTGTCGTTCCAGCATAGTGACATAGTCCAGAACATGGCTTTACAAGCTAACCCTGAAATCCTGCCAGGTTGTACTCACATGTGCATTTGCGCTAACAACTATTTGTTTTCCCTGTTCTTTACTCACAATCAAAACCCAATTAAAATTTTGCCGCCAGAGTAATTAGAAGCTGAGTCAGAAGTGCTTTATATTCATGTTCATAACTGCTGGTCTTTGCTTCCACTGTCTAAATAAAACTGGAGTATCTTCCTTACTTTCTTACTCCTTCTTGGCCAACAGCTGTCTATAAAGTTTGTGCTGTCCTTTACCTTATTTGATATTCTAGTCTAGTATGTGTACAATTAAATTCAGGTTTTTATAGTAAATTTTTTTTATAAAAAGCAAGCATTTACGTTAGCTACTGCATCATTTTGCACTGAGGTTTTATGGTCAGGGACTGTACGTTCATTCCATTAGCATATTTTTGATCGCTTCTGCATTAGAAAAAGAAATCTACCTGTGAAAGTAAACCAATTTGCAAGCATTTTTGTAGAAGGTGTCGCTATGCTATACTGCCAGTGCCAAATCTACTGTACGTTATTTACCTCAGTGTTTTGATTGTCATTACCTAGAAATTTTAACTTTCTAATAACAGTAAGTACTTCTTACATTCTGGGCTTTTTGTAATTTTCTATTACATTCTCCAGGTTCACAGTAGAACAGGAAGTTGATCTGAAAGATGTCTGGAGAGGTCTCGGAATTACAGAACTGTTCAGTAGTAGTGCTGACCTTACTGCGATGTCTGGTAAGAGGTTCTTGTGTTGTCTCTCAAGGTGTATGAGGAAGTACTAATATTACCTAAAGATAACCAACAAGCTCTTCAAAGTGGTTTTACGGAGGGGAAAACACAAACCTGCTAGCAATTTTTCTGATCCTTTGAGATTTTTGTATAATTTAAGAGTGTTCTCGCTGTAGAAGTAGTTGGGGCAGTTGGTACAGCGTATGTGTGAGAGATGGCAGATTTTTGACCTGAGAAAGTTCACTCCGAATATTTCAGAATTGGATTTCATTAGAACTGTAGAGAAAGCGTAACACTATGCAAGAGGCAGATCCACGTTGGAGCAATATATGGCTTCAGTGCCTTGATGGCAAATAGCCCCTTGTGCGAAATGCATTTGCTCATAGCATTAAGAGCATTAAGCTGTTGTACAATTAGTCATCTCCCCAAATACCTGCTGTATAGAAGCAGCTCAGGAAAGAAAGACTTCTGAGATAAAAGCAATTTAGTCACATATGCTGCTTGCCTATTTCAATATGTTGTCACACTTTATTTTCAGAAGTTGAAATATCCAATACATTTAGAAATTCAGGTGGAAACGAGATATTTGTGCTTTTATTACCTCCTAAAAGGTATTGAATTGGCACAAAAGATAGTTGAGTCGTCTTTGCCTGGGAAGTTGTTTTCATTTTTTGCATAACAAAACTAGCCATGAAAGCAGTGTGTTCAGCATGGTCTGTCTAGACCTGAATTTTGGCAAACCCAGTTGTTCTCTATCTAGAAGCATGTGCCAGTGTGAGATTTCTGTCATTGTTCTTGTAATTTATGCTTCCATACTGCTCTCTGTATGTGTTTCTGCTCTGTGGGTTACTGTCTAATCAGCCAGATAGATCCTTAGCTGATGGGAAATACCTGTTCTTAATTGTCTGTCTCTGGAAGCAGTCACACCTGTGTGGCTTCTTCAAAAATAGTGGTAATAAATGTGAACCTTCCTCTAAAATTTCAGCAGAAATGCTCGCAATTTTCATATCCTTTTCACTTTTGTTAAGTTTGAAATATTGTTTATACTATATCATGTAGCTTATTCCACTGTTTTGCTGCTTTCACTCTTCCAGTGAAATTGTGGGGAAAGCTGGAGTTATCTAATGTGAAAAGAATTCGAATAAATGAAAAACTCTTCTTAAAAAAATAATTTTTCTGAAGAAAACCACCTTCAATTTCTCTGCCACCCTAAAGGAAAATAATCTTTCCAATAATTTCTGATCTTGAGGAAGTACTTGAGGAAAAGTACAAAGGAGAATGGAAAATGCACAGGGGAGACTGAACTGTGCAGGCAGTGCTTGTCTCTTATTTCATTTCATGTAAAATTCACCTATATATCAGGGACTAATTCTGAGGTTGAGAGGTTAGCAGAAAGGTTGGAACTTGCTTGTGTTTTAATCCATGTGACTAATGACTTGTTTAAAGTTTTATATTGTTGACAATTGTACTTTATGAAATAAAAATACCATGTTTTGCATGACTGAATTAACTCCTGCCATTTAAAGATAAACTTGTTTATGAAGTAATGTAGAGCAGTCTGTAGAGAGAATTCATGAGTCTTACTGTAACATTCTTACTTTTCACTGAAAAGAACATGTGCACATGTGCCACCAGGTGATGAAAATGTCATTCGTAAATTAAGAATAGGAAAACGTTTTTTAAGTAATATCTTTAATGAAAACCCTGCTGTTGATGGTACGGCGATTAAAATTTAAGTAATTAAAATACAGAATACGTTTCCTATTTATAATTTTCACAATGTAAAATGAGGAGGGAGGAAGAAGGGGAAAAAAATCATGTAGAAAAATGTTGAAAGCTTGCTTTTGCAAATACCTGAATAGTATGTCAGGTAACAGGGAAGTTGAAGGCAGAAGTCTACATGTGTCAGCCCTCTGGAAAATTTGGCACTTCATGAAACCTTAAATGCAGATATTTGAATAGAATGTTTGTCTGGACACTTTTAATTTAGGGAGATACAAATCATAAAAGAAAATCTAAGGAGATTTTTCAGAAATTCTGTTGCGTTTAAAAATACTACTCTTCCCCCTCTCCTGTTGCTCTTGCCTTTGGATTATTGTCAAGGGAAGCCTTCTGCAATTTCAACAACAGCCCTAATCCTGTAATCAGATCCAGGCACAGATTGTTGAGTTCAGTGAAATTCTATGTGGGCTTAGTGGATATAAATCAAATTGCAGGATTACAGACTTATTTTTCAATATTTAGAATCTTTTGCTTTTTGCACTCAATCTGAAAAATGGAAATAGACAAGTCAGCTTTACCTTCCAGGATGTCTGGATTGTGAGCAACCAAAGAGCAAATATTAATCTGGATGCACATTTTAAATGTTATTTTCTTGCAGAAATTAAGTTCTTTGTCAATTAACACAGGTGAGTAGGAGGACATTCCCATTTGGCTGTCTAGTTGCATGTATTCTGACTCCCAGAAAAAGACTTTGACAGGTTTTATTTGCATCTCTGATTCCATCAGGTGTTCAAAACAATCTTGAAACAACTACTGGTATTTGGGATTTTATAACTTACCCATCACGTAAACTTGATACTTGAGTATTTTGATACCGCTTAGGACTTACCCTTGAACTAATTTCAATACTAAAGTTCTCCTTCCCTTTCAAATGATTATAATACTTCTTACTGTTGTATAATGCCTGAAATGGCAACTGCTTTTTAACCTCAAGGTGACCTGCATTTCAGTAAGCAGTAAAGTAATCTTAATCACTTACTTTCACAATATGAACTAGCTAGAAGAGCACCAGTCCAGTAAATAGTTCTTCAAAGTCTTGACTGCGGTAGGTATAGTTTCTCGGGGACAACCTAAGCTAGAAAAGCCAATAAACCTGCATGCTTTTTTTAAAATGAGACTTGCAGAGCAACCAGTTGGCAGCTATGAGTAGGAGTTTGCAAGCATATGGAGTGTAATGACAAATGAAATGTGATGCTAACAGAGTCGTGTACATTAGAAGTAAGCCTCAGATTACTCCCACACATTAATGGATATCTAGGCTAGGGTCCTGCAGAAAGCTTCAACTTTGATACCAAATCTCCATGGGACTTTTCTGAGATGCTAAGAATCAAATCATGCTGGTTGCTATGAAAATCCAGATTCAAAGAAATTACTGGAGAAAAATGACATGATAGTAGATACTCAGGTAAACCTCACCTTATCCACAGTGAAAGCCATAAAGGAAAGATGTATAATAATAAGATGTGTATGATATTGAAGTATTGCAGTCAGTGATTTGACAATCATAAAACAGAGCAGAGAGGAGAATGCCTGAACACTCAATGACAACATTATGCTTCCATATGAAAATAGATTCAATCAATTCCAGGAGAGATGAATGAGAGGGATGTGATAGTAGCAATATAAAAAAGGAGTAGACAAAGTAAATTGGGATATGGAATTGCTCTTTTCACCATCCGAGGACAAAGATATTCAATGAAGTGAAAGGCAACAAATTGAAACCAAAATAGAAAGTACATCTCTCATGGAAAACTTAACCACAGAGATCTTTGCTGGGTATTCCTTGAGGTCATGAGATTGGTAGGATTAAAAAAAAATAAAATTATTCAGAGCAATCAAAACTCTCTCTGCTACATTGAATAAAGGCATGCTATATATTCTGTGGATTAGAAACTTTGGCGTATAAGGCACGTGCTCAGTGAGAGGATCTTTTGTAAGTTGCGCTGTAGTTTTCATCTGTAAGGCTTTTTAGCAACAATAATACTGGAGCAGCACGCTAGACTAATTGGACCTACTGATCTCATCTGCAGTGGCACTTCTTGTATTCCTGTCAAGTTAAAATCTTGCTGGATTTTTTTAATACTCAGATCCTGAATACATTTACAGGTAGGCCTACTTTTATACCTGATGGTAAAGGTTAGCAATGTTTATGCTGTCAGAATCAGGGTCTTATAGGCTCATCAGATGGAGACCAATCTTCTGAGGTGCCAAGTGTTCTGACCAGAAGTATACTTCGATGTGCCATAAGCACCAACACAATATGCAAAATAAAGCATTTAGGATGAAAATATGGAATATTGCAGGTCACAGGAACATGCTTAAGTGCTATAATAAAAAAAAAAAAAATGGTTGAAATACGTGATTAGGCAAAGTGGATGGTTCTTTGTTATTAAACCTAAAAATTTATTTGGGTTTCAGATAAGGAACCCCAAACCAGCCTTTTTCTATAACGGCTGCTAAGTCATTGTTTTCTTTTGGTATGTGCCTCATAGCTCAAATGCTCAAGAGAGCTTTGAAATGGTCTCAAGCCAGAACAGCAAAATACAGCTGCCTGGAAGGTAGAATTTGCAGAACTGACCGATAAACTTACCAAGAATTCTGTTAACTGACCTGTTTACAAAGGCATGCACACACATAATGTAACATGCACAACAGGATTTCCTGGTGTGCCGATCTGTCACCCTTTGTGCCTTGGGTATCTATCCATTATCACCTATGTAAATGTGCTTCCACATCCAGTGTGTGTTCTAAAACTTTTTTGGAAGTTTAGGTCTTAATGGGTCCATAATGGAATGGCAGCTTTAGGGGATAACTGTTTAACACTTGATTATGGTATTTAGTTAGCTTGTGATTTATTTTTTGCAGGTAATGCTTGAGGCTTAATGATGATGTTAGTGTTGGAATGCAACTCTGTTGTGTTTTCAGGTGGCCTTTCTGTTAACAGCTAGGGAGACAAAAACTGTGAGATCTGTACTCAGTGTTGAAGATCAGTAGATGCTGCGTGTCCTGTGTTTTAAAGTCACATGGTGGAAATTTTATCTGAACTTTCAAGATAGCATTACTGGAGGCTTGGAATTGAAGCCTAGAACCAGTGCAATAGGTAGCAATCTAGTATATGTTTTACTATACATAATCTCAAAGTGAATGATTTGGGGCTTTTGTTGGTGAGATTTAAATTAAGCAGCTGAACTAGGAGGCTTACTTCAGTTCTGAGTGTATGTAGCAGTAACGAGATCTGCTGGGGAGACATTTTTAATTGCTGTCTCTTGTGGTTTTGCCTTGCATTAGTATTAGAATGAGCGGCTGTCATTGTGAGAGCCAAAATAAATGGGTACCAATTAGATAAATAGTCTCAAACTTTCCCTCCTTAGTCAGCCTTCAGCTAGAGTTTTGGTGTTGAGCATTTTGTGAAGGATCAGAAATGCAAAATGGTGTAGCTGTCTGACTGGGGAGGTTAGATTAGATTTTCATGGCTGTGTATCTCCCTGTTGAGAAAACTTTTATTCCTTTCTTAACTGCCAGTTGTGCTCTGACATTATTGCAGATTTTATGCAGGTACAATAAATGTATATCTAATCCTTGTTATGTCTTTCTGATGAAACTCAGTCAAGCAGATTAAATGATGTTATGTGTCTTGGTTCCTGCAAGGTGCCAAGTATCCCAATAGGTCTGATCATTTAGCTCCTGAAGAAAAGTGATGAAACATCCACTGACTTAAGCAGGAGCAGGCTTGGACCGAAATTAAAATACTGACAAAGAGGGATGGAAAACAAACAAGACTGAAAAACCTAATTCCATAGTGGTTTTTGCCATAAATGTTTATCTTCAGCTTCTTTTATATCTAATGACAAGAAGAAAGAAAATACCTACTTTTCCTGGAGGAAGCCTATATCGCACCTAATGCAGAAATAAAATTCTTTATATATAAGTATTTGCCATAAGTAATGTCATAATCCTTTCTCCCAATGGTTGCATTTAAAATCTTGTGTTCAAGGATTGTCTTTTATTCTCTGGTATACTGGTGCTATAGCCAGTGCCAAGCTATTTTAATATCCATAGCGTAGAACACCACTACAAATTTAAGGGACGTAAATGGTGCTATTAAAGGTATTGGCAGAAGGTATTTTAATGCAACTCCTATGCACAAAGCTCTTGTCCTTCCCTACTTGGTATAGAAAGTGGGTAATAGTGTTGGGGGTTTTGGCAGTGTTTAGTTTGGGTTTTTTTAAATACTTCAATCTTACTGTTGAGCCAATTGAAGTATGTTTCCTTTTCCTCTCCAGATAACAAAGAACTTTACCTTTCAAAGGCATTTCACAAGGCATTTCTAGAAGTTAACGAGGAAGGATCAGAAGCTGCTGCTGCCTCAGGTACCTGACTGAAAAGCAGAACTAAATCAAATGTCTGGTTATTCTGTGTTAATTAATTTTTTTAAAACTGACTTGCTGTACAGCCGGGAAAGCTAAATAACATGTAGCATGAAGACACAGCATAGCAAGCATAGCGTGTTTTAGAAGAGGATTCTGGAAATGAAAAGTGTTAATTTTTTTTTTAACATGGTGTGTTTCACAAAGAATTTTAAGCATTCTGTGGAAAACCTCTTCCTTCTTTGGCTTCTGATTGTCAAGAGGGTACAGACTGCAATTTACATTTTCTTTATGGAACTTAAGCATTCGTAATTTTTGATCTGCTAATTGCGATGGTCAGAGGCATTTGATACAGAATGGTTAGGAGGAGTTGAAAGTTGTTGCAATTGCATTTTAATAAGCTTGTCTACAGAGATGCAAGATGGGAGCTGCTAAATGCAAAACCATAGCTGGCCCCTGTTAATGCTAGGAAGCCAGGTGGTTGATTTTCTTGATTATCACATGCTTTTCCTGAAACTAAGTTAAATTAGTTGCCAGTATGTATTATTAGGTGATTCTAATTGCCTCTACTTGTACCAAGGCAAGGAAGAATGACTTCCCTGGTCATGAATATCAGTAATTGGGTTGAATTGTAACATTAATATGAACAGTAATTTCTGGCATGTATGAGTCTTTATTAACAGTGCAGTGAAAAGATAAAGTAAATGAAACACTGGGAAATAAGAATGATATCCTGGAGAAATCCATGCATGTCCAAGTAAAAATAACAAAGGGACGAATTCTGCCTGATTCCCTGTTAATTTTACTTTCAACTTCTGCATTAATTAAGGACTTAAGCTAAAAGCTAGAAGATCAGTCCATTTAGTAGTTGCATATTCCATAGTTAAGTGTTACCTTTTGCTATCAACTGCAGGATTGGAGCTGTTTAAAACAGGTCAATAGTGCTGCCTAACGTAATGCATTTTCTTTCTACAATTGAGCAGGAGTCCTAACTCCTCTTAAGGTTCTGGATCTTAAAATTTATAAGCTGCTCCCTTAGCCTGGGAAATTGTGCCACTCTCCATTGTTAATCATTCTTAAAGCATAAATAGGCATGCAATTACTCTGTCATTTTCAGTTAGATTTTTCATGCTATTTCTTGGTGGTGCTTAGAGCTGAGAGTGTGGGACTTCATTCTGCTCATGAACTTCAAGTATTTCTCATGAAGAGCAGGAGAATGTGCAGTGATATTTAACAAGTTGCCTCTGTTCTATTTCCTTTAGGAATGATTGCCATTAGCAGAATGGCAGTGCTGTATCCTCAAGTTATAGTTGATCATCCCTTTTTCTTTTTGGTCAGAAACAGAAGAACAGGTGAGAATATTGCAGACTCTTGTCAACATTTTTCACAGTACATCATCAAGTATACAAAAGAAAATTGCATATTTTGATCAATGAACTGACCTTGTACTATGAATTTTCCTTAAAATACCTAATAGTGAAAGACTGACCTTTTCTATGTCCCCTTAATGTTTCTCCAGGTAAGACACCAAAATCTGACATAATCCTGAAAAATATTCACAATTGCATGATTAAAAACCCCAGGGAAGAAAAAAAATCACCGTTTTTCTTCAGAGAACACAATGTTACTGCCCTGAATATCCATAATCATTGTATTCTATAAAAGCTTGGCTGTATTAAGACCAGTGAGATATGTTCCCAGTACCAAATGATTTGCATAATGGACAGATATTACAGCTATGAATAATTCTGTTGTGCATTTGAAGTGCTCTGTGGTAGGCAGAGGATGAGAACAGCACTCACTAGCAAAATGGGCAATGATTAATTCCTTAGTTTTGTATTTGTAATTTGTCTTAATGATGTGGATGTGACTGAGTGACAAAATGGACTATCGTATGGGTCTGCATGTTGTGGTATCCTACATGTTCTCAAGCAAACTCTGGTAGGTTCAGTTTGACAGGTTGTTTTTTCTTTTTCCTGTATTTGAGGTCCCCATCATAGGTATCAATGTTTATTAAACCATTTAGATTGCAGTAATACTTGCAGTCTAGCTAGGTAGGGTCACTTGTGTGCAAGGCATGATACCAACTATTAGGGTGTTTGGGTCTTTTTTGACCAAAACTAAGTTGAGTATCCTTGCTGTTGTAGATACTCTCCTCCAGGCACATTTTTGCCTAATTATGTATCTGCCCTTTTCCCTACTCGATATACAAAAATCTCCCTATAAAGAAATCAGAACAGAGTAGAGCTCAGTAGCCTTCGGGCAGTTCTTAATGTTGCACAGGCATTGTTGTTGCATGTAGAAAGAGGAATTGCCAACAACTATAGCTAAAGCCTCAAAGCTCATTACTAAGCTAGAAATCTAAGGCTAGAAACCTTTTGAAAAAAATCTGTGATTATTCTCAAGAATACCCTAAGTGCTCATGATTGATTACTGTGTTTAAACAGGTTAGATAGAAATGTATAAAATAGGAAAGACGTAAATGGTGACTAAATAGCGTAGGGGAGCAAGTATTCATATAGAGAATTCCTTATTGTGGTTGCACGCTCTAAGGTGGAGTAAACCTGTGAATACAAAGTATCTATCTATTAATAATCATTAACTGATCAGTGTGGTGGTTTCTGGGGTTCACTTTTAATTCTGTGAGGAAGGTTGTCCAGCAGCCTAGGTATGTGAGGGTCAGAAGGGATCATGAAGGTTACTCTGAGGTGTTCACACTTCATTTAAGGTTAGCTGCCACCTTTAGAGCCCCCCAACCTAGAAACCAGTACTGTGTCATAACCACGTGACATCAGTGGCAGTACTTCATGGGCCTTCATCAGAACCATTGACATGAAAGTGCACCTTTGTGTTGATTTTTGGTGGGTTTTCAATGAAGCCTTTAGAATAAGCAGAGAAATGCAGGGTATTTGTTCTTGTCTGTATTGTATCAGTTCTGAATACAAAGAGGTCCTCTTCTCTAGTGCTGGTGATCCATTGTCTTTCATGGCTGCCAAGTTCTCTGAGACATACATTCCTATGAAAATTGTGCACCACATGCTCTAGAACTTACTATTATCAGTATTCATCATCTTATAACCTCAACTTTTCCTTTTGGTTCTGACACCCTCCCTTCCTCCCTTCCCACTTTTTCCACAGGTACTGTGTTATTCATGGGAAGGGTAATGCACCCTGAAGCAATGAATACAAGTGGGCATGACTTTGAAGAGCTTTAACTGCCACCAGCTACCAAAAAGAGAAGATAAGCACATAAAGTTTGAAGTTAATATATTTAAGGTTTGCTGTGTTTTCCCCCAACGTATTGTTTAAAATGCTTTCAGATCTAACTGTGTGCAAGTCAGTTTCCAGACAAAAACTTACAGTATTAAAGTAATGGTTCTGTTTCTGTCATTGTGATTGCCGTGTCCTTAAAATAAAGTTGTGTACATGTCAACAACTGTTTCTTGTTCTAGTGAATTGTAAAGCAAAAAACTGCAAATCCATTATTCGTAATTTTTTTACAGTCCAAAGACTGACTTGATCAATGAGACAGGAGTGGAATGTGTGCAGCTCAGAATAATGCAAATGGCAAACCTTGATGATAATTTATAGAGTTGAACTACATCTGGAAAATGTGATCTCTTCCTGTTCCTGTAAAAGCAGTAAACAGACTGCGTTACACTGTCTCATCAAAGTTAATTGAACAAATTAAGCCTAGTTGATTTTATTCTATGTGATAACTGTGGTAGACTTTGTGTGAACTCTCCCACGTGTGATTCTAAAATGTTGCTTTTATGAATGCTCCTGCATGTGACTCTGCAATTCATCTTCCGTAACTGTTGATGCCAATAAAATTTGATCGCATGAATATTTGAGCCTAGTCAGTGTAGAATAGCTATGTATGTGACTGAAGTAAAATAGTTGAATATTTTATGTCATTTGTGTGGACATATTTTTCTCCCCCGAAGCAGAAGTTCTACTTTAACCTAAACTTTGCAGTATCTCATTTCAGGGATCTAGAATGATTTTTCTCAAAGTGAAAAAAGAAAAAAAAAACAAACCCTTAATTTTAAGAGTCTAAAAATGTTCTATTCATAAATAAATGTCTAAAGGAACAACATAATCCTTTTCATTCCCTGTCTTTTTATTGAGCATAAACTGACAGAGAGGAGAATGACACATACCACAAGTAAATATTAGCAGGGGAATTAGTTGCTGTTTCCATTTGCAAGAGGAGGAGAAGTACCAGTTGTCACCAGAGAGGCATATAATTATTTCCTCCCTTATTGTGCAAAATATGAAAAGAACAGAAGTTATTAAAAAGGTGAGAGAGAATAGGAGAAAAGAAGGGAGGGGCTCCTTTGAAACAGATCATAAATACAAACTTTTGGATAATAAGTGGGTTTCTTCTCAGTCAATAGGAGTTTTGTCTTTTGAATTCTACAAGAACAAATGTATATTAGCTGAACTTTAGTTACAGGCTTCTCTGGCATCCATTCACTTCAAAACAGCATAGATATTGCTCACAAAGTTATTCATGCAAGGAGAACTTCCAAAATTTGACACATTGTTCACTTTTTTATACTGCTGGTGCAAATCATGCAGGTCAAACTGTGAAGTGATGGATGTTCTCCATGGAGGCTGGTTATGCTCCCTTGGAGAAAGGGCATTTGAATATATTTCTAGCCCTGCCTCCTTGAATTGTTCTGTTGCACAGAAGACAAATGGAGCTCCTTGGTGTATTGCTGTTGCTTATTACCCATAGTATATTATAGTCTGGACTTGGTGAGACAGTTTTGGTGTTCAAATTTTGACAAAAATTGTAATTTTAGTTCTGTATAGCTAAAAATGTTATGCTTGGGAGGGGAAAAAAAGGGAGTGCTCTAAGAAGGAGCAAGAGCTAATTTTAGCAAGACATAGAACTAGTCTCACTGCAGGTGAAACCAGCTCCCTTGACATGGAGTTACACAAGGGCTGGTCCTTCATGTTTAAATGATTCTATGAACATCACCTAATGTCTGTAAAAATGACCCATAAACTAAGGATCTCTCGTGGTTTTAACCTTATGGCAGCCTGATTTTTTAGCTATTATATTTTTTCAGGCTATTTTTGAGGTGTTCCGTCTGATTTGGAAAGATATAGGAAAGCAGATGACAACCCTCAATCATGTTTATTTTCAGTCCATGGAAAGTTCTTCCTGACCAATTTTGTGTTTTCTTTGCATTAATTCCTTGCAACATAGATGCTTCTTACCAAGGGAAGGATTGAAGATAGATTTGAACTAAAGCTATGGAATTGTGGAAGGACAGCTGCCAGTCAGAAGTATTTATAGAGGATATCAGGCAAGTGCACAGACATCCCTAGCAGTTAGACTGAGCATAGGTGTAAGTAGAATGATGCAGAAGTGCATTTTCCAAATCTGATTCTGAGAATTGCCTAAATGGGCATAGAGGAAAACCAGCAGATACAGAAATGCAAACACTAGTTATTTCACTTGATACTCTCCCAGTCCTTACAGATGCAAAATAGACATTTCGTGTTTCTTGAAAATTGAGAATTATGTTTTTCAACAATATGAATTTATTTGTTACCAAATTATGCAAAGACTTTAGTTGTAGACCACAATGAGAACAGCTCTCAATCAATATTGTTTTTCAGCAGAGATAATATCGTATGTATTGTTACCAATTTATTGAGGTATATGAATACTATTCTGTTGTGGGTTTAATCTAGATTTTGCATAATGTTCTTTTCAAAGATGCTATTGCTTTTTTGAGACAAAACTAGCAAAATAATTTTGTCTTTTTGTTGGGTTTTTTTTTTTTTGATAAGGGGAATTTGTCAATAGTGGCTCATATGAGTTTAGGTGTGTAGTCTTAAAAGAAAAATTAAAAATTGTATTTTGTGTTGGAGACTATATGAGAAAATAAATTGCTGAAACTTCTATAGTTGTGCTGTCTAAGTAACCCATGATGTGACACTGTCTACTGAGATCCTCCTGTGATGCAGATGGATTTTTAAGTGTGAGATGCAGTTGCCTAATGCTATCATCTTCTCTTTCTTGCATACATGTACTGCGGTCCAGGTGGGAATGCTAATGCTTGTCAGATCTGCAGTTGGAAAGCATACTTTCCTTATGAATCCTTTACTAGTGGTGCTACCACTGGAGACTGACTTATTTAACTAATACAATCCCATTTGTACATGACCTTGAGCACCAAACAAATTTTCTAGATTAGTACTACATTCAAACAAAAATTTGTCATGTTGTATGAATTGGAATGTTTTTGTTGTTCTTCAAGCATTAATTTTTGCTATCCTTCCACAAGCCTTGATGATGGCAAAATAAACTGTTGTATAAGTTTCTATGATTCAAGTACAGAATATTCCTCGAACAAATAAGATCTTAGTGTTATACCAGAAACAAAAAAAAAAAAAAAAATCAGTCAAAGCTTTTGTAGCTGATTTTTGTTTTTTCAATGATGGACAAAAGAAGAAACCACAAGATGTCACTCTATCCTAAGAAGCTGAGAAGTACTTTGCCATTGACAGTAATCTTATGGGAATGTTGGAAAGCCAAATATCCTGAATGGGACTCGAGTATGGGTTGGTCTTGGTAAAATCAATGGGAGTTGCTTGAGTTTGAGAGCATAATTAGACCCAGGTGGCTGAGGTTAATAAACGGGGGGGGGGAACCCCCAGAAAACTGCTTTGTGTTGCAAACTTTTCTCTGACTCTTGATAACTGTTTGCCGAATCAAATTCATTGCTCAGGGGAATTTTTGTCCAGTTCACAACCTGCATGATTGCATTGTGTACTTGGTGTGGGGTGAAATAAAAGAAAAGCTTGGTTCTTTCAACCCATCTCCATGAACAGCAGTAGAGCTGTCCTGTAGTTACTTCAGTGTCAGTGCTGCAACAGGAGACATATTTTCTTCACTACAAGAGAGAAATAACTAGGGTTGAAGTCATTGATATGCTGGCCCTATTATACTGTTGTTCTCTTTTGCTTACCTCTTTTATTTCCCCCCTCCCTTGCTGCCTTACATACAGTCACAAGAATTCCTGTGAGCAGATTCCTAGTGTGTAACCTCACTGTACAAGGGGAGAATACCACTGTCAGGTGTTCTACTCTCTTGCTTGGGAGGAGGCAACATTGTTCCTACAAGGATTTTCTAATAAAGACAAGGGATACTCCAAAAGCAGTGTTTACAAGCTGATTCTTGAGTTGTTTCTGCCCCTTTTAATGGGCAATCTTTGCTTTTGTCCCTACAGTGGAAAATGGAAATACATGGATTAAAAAGAGATGGATGATTTACCCCCAAAACCCAGTGCCAGAGAGGAGGAAAACAGTACCTTAATAACTCAGATAATACCAGCAAGAAGTGAGTTGACTTCCCTTGTGAGCTACTCTGCATCTACTGACATTGTTGATGGGCAATTGTAGATTCATTTAGCTTGTAAAACTGTCTGCAGTCCCCAAGGATTTTGGGTCAAGCTGCAGTAGTTAAGGGGGTCCAGACAGAATGAAGCCTGCCTGGTTACTGGGGACCTTTGTTAATTGATTCAGTAGCTTGTGTTTGGTTTCCAGCTGGCACTGGTTAAGGGCTATAAAACAAAGTGACACATGAGAAATCATTTGTAAGACACAAATATAGTTGGTACTGTAAAACTCATGAACAACACTACATATTGGTTACCCTCATCTACCAGGGCTTCTCAAGTGACATTTTCTTTATATAGTACTGCTCTTAACAACATCATCTATGGGAACATTTTTCATTTCACCTTACTAATTAGAATCCTGAGTTGTGGACCAATTGCTCTAGGCATTAGGCAAACTGAATAAAAAGATAGACAAAAGTCATGTAATAAAATGCAGTTTAAATTGGAGTTTATAGACAGTAGCACAGTGCAATAGTAAGGGTGTAAGACTAGTGAAGGATATTCACAGTCACTCTGGCAGACAGGTAAATGGAGAAGGAAAATGAAAATAAATGCATTATCCAAACAATAGGTGAGTCGCAGCTCCACTTGCTATTTCAGAACTTGTTCAGACTTTTTCAAAACACCTTACAAATGCAGCCTCCAAACTCCATTAATGTCTGTGCCTAGAAGTCAGACAGCTAAGCATTCTCAGATAGATGCAACTCCAAACCAAGCACAGCAAAGCTCAAAACGTTGGCAACTGTTGCTAAAAAGCATGGTATGGAAAAGTCTTCACAGCACTCTCCACTTTCAACTGTGATCAGTCTGAAAGGTTTTTTTCCTTAATGATGTGTTTGCAACATTGTTCTGGAAACTAATCTGGCAGATAGTGGTAGTAAAATTCTAGGTCTAGCAGAACCTGGCTGAGGAAAAAGATTGAAATTGCTCCTGCAGCTAGGGAATTTAGCCTGTTGCCTCTGTTGCCTGAGTTTTTATCTTTTCAGCCACGCTGAATCACAATATGAATGAT